CAAAGTATGAACACTCTATTACATGCGATAAAAACAGTAATGGAATAATCACGGTTAGAAATTACGAAGAAATCGATATCGCGAGTCGAGTATCAGATAACAATCGTCCGGTCATCGGTTGGAATATATATTTCGCATTGAAGAATGCTACATACATATCTGACTTAATAATGTTAATGATTTTTTTCATAATGCTTACAATATCTAAACTAATCTTAATATAAATTATATAATAATATTTAAATTATACAGTTATTTATAAATTCATAATTAATATTATTTACTCAAGACAAATGGAAAAAGAATTACTGTATGGTATAATGTACTTGCGTTATCAGTTGACTTATTTGCAATTAGGAACTACGGAAATGCAGAAGAACAAACAATCTCGAAAACATACACACACATTACATAGTCATCTGTGCTTGATACGATTACGTGGAAACAACGAATATTATGCAATTTCATTGACATAACGGAATATCCCTGCGTAAGTGCTTCTGACATAATAGCATTAATTTAATAATGAGGGAATACAGCTTACAACTATAATACCATATTATATCATATATATCATTGCATGTATTTATAGTGAATACTACAATATAATAATATTTTGTACACATAAATGAAATACTTGTCTGTATAAATAAAACAATTTCATTTCTGAAATTCAAAATCTATGCTAGTTACTTTAACGGAAAACACAAGAACCTACATAGAATTTGACTTAGAAAAATAAATGAATTCATAACCATTTATTTTTCATGTTGAATACTTTACGTTGATACGTTTTTAAAACTGATATTTCATTTTTATTTTGCTTAATACAATCATTTATAATTTTCCTACATTTTATCATACAAGTTCGTAGGTTTCACTACTTGATTCTTTTGAACGCTATAAATATTCCCGCGCAAAGTACTGCTTCCAGTGAGAGAGATGTTGAAGCAGAACAATCTCGAACAAACCGGAGAAGGGACAGAGAATTTACGCTCGCGATGAATCATTGCCTTACACAACCAAGTTAAGCAGTAATTTGTCATTGTGTCGGTCGCAAAGCACCGACATCGTACAATTTCGTGATCATTAAACAATGTCTTTAAAAAGCGATTCTATAACACTGCATTTAAATGTCACGCTACTTGAAAAAACGGTTCCCTATGATATCCACTTAAACACGGAAGCACTGGCGAACACGTGTCGCCTCTAGCAGCTGTCAGTTTTTACCGGTTCACGTATATCAACTGCTTATTCACGTTAACTAATTTTTTCGAAGAAATTATATATGTATGCATATAGACGAATGCAATAGATTTCTTCGTATCATTTTAGTTCGGAAGGTATCGTCCACGTAACGGTCCAACAATTCATATTCGATATGAATATTTATTTCTTATTTGTACAAATCCATGACACTTATCAGTCAGACGAAATTTCGCAAGAATTTCACCAGAGATACTATTGGCGATACATAGGGAACGACACTTCTGAACTTTCGCTTTCTCCTTACGCCACGTGATATTTTCGCCCGATCTTTCCCTAACCTATAATCGACACCGCCGACCGAAACTGTACTGATACACCATGCGCGTTTCGGTATTCAACTTCAAAAGTTATTCCAGAAAGTGGTTCTTAAAACACCACGTGCGACCGGTTCAAATTTCTTTAAAAATTCCCAAACGACATTTAAGGTTACTTGGATAGCAAAGGTGAACTTATTGCGTTCAGATCGTTCTCTCGAGGGCTATTCTAAGTCTGCGGTAGAGGTTAAAATCGCAGTGTAATTCTCGGCTAGATTTGGACTAGTTACCCCCTTCAGTGCCCGTAGGTAGGTACATCGGTACAGATCGGTGAGAGACACTCACCCGTTGCAGGAGTTCATGGTAGCCTTGAAGAAATTCCTCGCAAACCTGGCAGGTGGACGGAATGCTCTCGTGTTTTAAAATTCCCGGGTTTTTCAATGTGTACATCTCCCGAAAATGCGAAACCCCACGAACTGTTTTTCTTTTCTTTCTCACAGAAAATCCCGTTTTCTCGTTTCGGGAAAAATTAGGCTAGGTCGCGGAACAATCAGCGCGCGACGGCAGCGTAAAAAATGCTTCGAAATCAGCTGTGTTCGAGAACACGTGACGAAAGGAGGGAACGGATAATGGAATAGAAACGAGAATTATTTGACGATTCATATGCGCGGCGAATAGGAGAAAACGAGCCCCGCCACAAGCCAGCGATTCGAAAGCTCGGAGTCCGATCTCGAGACTGAAGAACGCGAAGAAACGGTGGGGGAATCGGAACGAAGATATCGGTTCGTCTATCCGGGGATGCCCCCACCATCATCTTGCAATGCTACAGGCACGTCACAGAGTACGCATATCATCAAGGGGAGTACCTGTTGTACGTTTTTCGCGCGCGATGAATTTGCGACGTAGACTTGCTAAATTCTTTTTTCTTTTCCTTTTCTTAAATTGTCGTTTAATAATTTCGTCAAAAAGGACATTAGAATATCTTCCCTGAATATTTTGCGTCGATCAAGATTTTTCTCAGACAAAGCTATAAGCATTAAAAGCAAATACGTACATATCTGTCAGAATCTTTAAACCGCTCTTCTATGAAATTGTGTTCCTTCGTATTCGATTTTGACTTTTTCTTTAACATTTAGGAAGCAATCATCGATTGACACTCGATATTTTAATTCCGAAAAATATGTACCTACAAAAATTTCAGTTTTGAACCTACAAAAACTTAAAGGATAAAATTGATTAATTTATAAAACTTTTATGAGTTTATGATATAAGCAGCTGTTTAAAATTCATCGCAAAAAGTGTGCAGCAATTAAATTACGTTAAAAGTTTAGGAAAATGCGCATATTATTTGGAATATAATCAATGCATCGTTGAACATGTTTTTGCCTCATCCCAGTTTTTCTAAATCAGACATAGACGTCCATGTCTGTGTAAACATTTGCAATTACGATACTATGATGTCACAAAGATTAAAGATCACTGAGAAATGTTCGAACTTGGGTACGTTTTAATTGGGCTTCGACAAGTATGAAGAGAATGCGTAATCCACGTGTCCCCTTTTCCCGTGAAAGTTAACCCATTCCGACTCGTAAATCGACCGTTGGTAACAAGTATGGTGTAACAGTTATCCCCGGAAGCTGTGAAACGGGAAATACATTTCTGATCTTCGTTTAGGGTTTGACATGGTCTCGGTGCAAAAAAGCGGAGAAAAAGAGGAAAAGGTAAAAATTCTGTGCTTAATTTTTGACTCAACGTCTGCATGTGCATGTGTTGCGTGTGCAAAGCGCGTACTGTCTAAACCGTTTCAGTCATGCTAGAGCAGCTGCATTGTGTAAATACCCGCGGAACTATGAAGTTCGTCATCCTTTGAAGAAACTGATATTAGATCGATCGGCAAAGTACAATTTATTTTTCAGAATTTTTCATTACAATGGACAAATTTTGTTCTTTCCAACATGACTGATAAATTCGAAGAAATTGTTAACGTTTTGCGGAACAAACGTAATTTTCTATACATGACACTACTTATAGAAGTAACGTAAATGTCTTACTTGCTTCGATGGTTAATTAGAGGGAACATAAAGTCTCGGTCCACGCACGACAAGGGAGGTGTCAAAATTTACGACGACAAACTTTCGTGGAGATGCTGTCTCTAGACCTAGGGCTCCCAGATCTGTGGTACAGCACTACCGACGGTCTGTACCCGGCAGACGATGACCTCACAACCTAGCATACATGGCTGACGAAACGCTGAGAGATATTTCGCCACCTTAAGAAAACCCGCTGCTCATGATTAAGCTCAAACTAGAAAATGTTACTAGTTAACTCGTTCGTGGGAAAATGATTTTTAAATCATTAGTCCGCATGTTTTCTTATGTGTACATAGAAATATGTATGTATATGCTTCGGTAGTATTACTCATTTTCTTGACATTGAAAAAAGAACGGAAAAAATAATATGCAAGTTGCACGGTAACATTTGGTCTAGCGATAAAACAAAGAAGGTCGAATTAATGCAATTTTGCGTCAGATGCGTTATAATTGATTTATCCTTGTCCGATAACGAGTGACACATACAAAATCGTGAATGCCGACGATTCACATTATTTCCTTTCCGATATCACTTTCAATGTTAGACAAGCGCGAGGACATGCGTCTGTCAATACTGACAAATTTGCGTAACATTGTTTCCTAATGTTGCGAGCATTATGCCTATGTCCCGTGAACAGTTGGCAAAATCGAATCGAAAAATATTATTGGAATGTACGGTTTCAAAATCACTCTCGTTAGTAGGAATAGTTTGACTAAATTTCAGAAATCGAATTGGATCTTTAGACAGCGTATCGCTCGATTTGCAACCCTTTCGACCACTATGCGAGGGTAGGTGGTCGTGTTAGATGAGAAAAAAAATATAGGCTTGATGACGCATGCGCATAAAGCGAGCGTGCCCCTATTGCGTCTGCGCGACCAGGCGAATCGACGAGGATAGACCGACGGTCTATGGTAGCGGGGAAAGGTAATGGAAACAGCTGGGAGAGATTATCAAGGTCATTTCAAATGACAGCCACACGTCACACCTCCGGTCGAGCCCCCGTTTGTCGACCAATCGTAAGCCCGGGATTGACTCGATCTCTCTCGTCACTTGTACACATGCAAACTACAACCACGAGTTCATCGTACAATGGCTATACAGCAAGCAGATGCACAGAACCATTTGCGTTGCTGCGTTTGTGTTACACTAACAAGGGATGAATGTAGAACTTTGTTTCGCTTTGTTCAAATGCTGCACTGGATAAAATAAATAATAAAACAAGAATTTCAAATGTCCTTTAAAACTGTTGTATATGGTAGAGTTTAGATAAAGTAATGTTTCAATATTATTATTATTATTTAGATTTAATAATATAGGTTTACTACGGGTCATACTTGACCCGGCATTCGCTCTGCAAGCTTTTCATTTATAATGGATAATATACATAAAATATCTCTTTGGCAATGGAAGTAAATTGATATTTGGCAAAATAAATTTAATTTTAGTTCAACTATCGTTATTGGCGTTAGATAAAATTCTCATCAAAATTTAAGTCAGACCGAAATAATTGAGAATAAAGCTCCATTAAAAATAATATTTATTAATAACATAAATACTTTACTATTTCAAATGATGTTTCACTCAACATTATCCAAATGGTTCATTCAACATCTGTGCATAATTTACATATACAATTTTAGATGTAATGAGGACCATGAAGAAAAAAGAAACTACGAAAACTCCGTCGCAATAATTTATTAAATAAATAAATAAATAAATAAATAAACAAATAAATAAATTATTGGTCTTTTGTCGACAATTTTATCTCTATTATATGACGCACGGTACAGAGTTTAGTCTTTATGTAAGGGTCTGGGATGATTTAATTATACGTATATTTAATAGACGCTATCGTATGCGAGATGTTTGATTCATTAGTTAATAGAATTAATATAAGCTTTTAGGATTGTCCTTTGTGTATTGTTTCATATAAAGTGATATATACGTATTTGAAAAAAGTTTGGGGGGATTAAAAGAAAAGAACTGAAAAATTTACTTCACACTATTCTCTACCCGGGCTTCACTACTTTCTAATATAATTAATTACATCAATAATAGGAATACTTACATTCGTATGATGCCAGTACTCGATAAGTCCAAGTAGATCGGAACTCGGGGCGTAAAGTAGAAAATCTCGCCACTCATTGAAACTAATAGTAAGACTTCCATCTTTGTCCATTCTACAAATTGGATAATATAAGCAATGGAAATCGATAATAAATAAGTATTTTTAAAACGAAAAACGTTCAACCTCGAGTCATTTATAAATAAATAAAAAAAAAGAGTATCGATCCCCGTACGCAAACTCTGATATCTCGTGCCACTGTTGGCAAAGCACTATGCAGTTCGAGTGACACAAGTCTATACGAACACAAGTGACAAAAATAAATAAAAGGAAGAAAATATACCTTTGGAGCAATTTTTTTGCCTCGTCGAAGTCCATTTTTATTCCCAACTCTTCGAATGATTTTATCAATTCTTCCAAGTCGATTTTTCCTGTAAAAACAAAGTACACGTGGTAACGCGACAACTATAAAAGGAATAGTAAACAGCGTAATAGTCGGTAACATGTTGACATCGGAATAAACAAAAAGTAACTATGACGACAATGATAATTGGATTTTCGCAACATGAAGCAAATATTGTGAACATCATTTATAAAGAGAAAGACAAAATGTTTTTAATGAGGTTGTGAAATTCTTACAATATTGTTAAATATTAATAAACATTATTAAAATGGTTAAAACATTGCCTTTTTCCCCCTTCCACATTGTACTTTCGAAATAATTCAAATAAAATTCGAATTTTTTGATTGATGAAATTCAAAAACCGTTCAAACTGATGTTGCATGAGAATGAGATCGCATCGAAAATTTAATGAAACATAATGTGACCTTGAAGCGGCCTTAACCCTCGGATCGCGGACATCATTATCTGCTGTTACGTACAATGACGCGACGGGTGATGCTTATCCGGAACACACGGTAGATAATGACGCTCCACTAGTCAAACTTTCTGCGACTACGAGTTGAGACGAGTTCAAGATCATAGATGCGTTACTATGAAGGAATGATTAATCCCTCGAAGAAGTTTCGAATGACTTAAAGTGGAAGACTAAGCGGACTCAGTCTATATTTCTATGGAAAAATTGTACTGGCATCTATCTATATCTCTATATTAAATAATGTATAATATACAAATTATTAATTAATAAATAATAATAATAATCAATAAGTAATAATAATTAATATATCAGTTATAATTTTGTACAAATTAATTTTCAAACAATGGAACAGGAACTAGCTTACTCAGTATATCTTCATATTAACTATCGACAAATCGTTCGAATCAATTAAAACCCATACTCTGTCATACAAAACTATTTTAATTTAAACATAATAAAACACAAAATAAACGCTTACTGTCTATATTTTACTTAATTGACTTCACTTAATTTTATTCAGAAAAATCACAAAAGTGATAAAGTAATAAAACAAATTAGAAATTAAAATACTATATTATATTTTTGATAAGGATATATTTCCATAACACTATTTCTTTAAATATACCAACCGTCTTTATTTTTATCAAGATGAGAGAATTGCAGGCGCAAGTTTTTTTCATGCTCGCGGACATAATGTATAAATTCAGCGAGACTTATATCTCCACTTTTGGTGCTATCCGATCTGGCCAAGAATTTCTGGAAAAGAGCAATTTATCGTCATTTAAGAATGAAGGATTTCAGTTTCAGCTTATCGCAATTAAAACAAATAACGCAGCTGTAACAAATTCTGAAAACCTTTCGATAAAATGTTTGAGTAAAAATTCAAGTTCGTTATTAATTAGAATTAGAACAATAAAATTTATCTTCTTATTACGTTCTTTAAGAACAATACAAGTATGTTTATTAGTCATGGTGAAACCGTGTAAATAAAATTAATTATGAAACGTAAACGACGTATAAATCTAGTTCCAAAGTATAAAGATAACTTCAAACCCGATTCAAAATCGACACGTTATCAATAACTTTTATTATAACAATAACTAATACGCGTAAATTGAACCGAAACAAATTATATGTAATTATATGTAATTAAACTACAAAATTCAGTATTTAAGCGTAAAACTACTGTATGATAATTCTTTATTTATATTACGAATATTTTATTGATCAGAAACTTATAAATATGCTTCGAAATTCGTTAAGTTATTTGAAAAAAAATGTAGGTTCCTAATTTCATGTAATATCTGCAGTGTGCAATTAATGATGTGCATGCGTACACGCGTCTCCATAGAACGAATAACCTAATTTTGAATATGCAATGGCTTCAAAGAAAATTCGATTGAAATGTACGGAACTACATTTAGTAAAATCAAGTAAACACGTATAAAATAATACAGAAATAATCGTCGGTCGCTGTTTCCTGACTAATGCGTCTTGAGCGTGAAAGTCACATGCAATCTCTGCATTATGAGGTTCGATCGTGCGTTGGCGCCTACATCGACGCACAGTTATCGGGAACTTTTAAATTATGCTTACCTCGGCATAGTATTTATCTACTCCGACCTCGCGGAGCGCTTTCGATAAATCCTTTACGTCGATTTTCCCGTTCCCGTCTAAATCCAATTTCTGGAATATCTTTTCGAGCCGTTTCTCGTCCTCGGCCGGCAACTCGTGCAAATAATGCGGTGGCATTACGCCGTGCACGGTACTTCCTCGATTGCCAGGCATGCTTCTGTCACCTCCTATACTGCCCAAATCGTCGAAGGCTCCTCCGCACACGGTATTCACGCACACATACGGAACGCACACGCGCGTCACCGTTATTTTCTCCCTCGTTTCTTTCCTATTTCTTGATACCACAGGTCTCAGGAACCACTTGCCGAATCTTCATACAACGATCACTGTACGCAACGTTCCGATCGTTAAACAAGCTTACGAGTGAACTCATATCTGCACCACACACGTGGCTCACTAGCGGTACACATTGATTTCCCCTAATAACACGCACGCTTCTTTCTACTTACCGAACAAACGTAATCCTGTGTATAAGTCGTCACGCTGTTGGAATTCACGCGTTTTTATATAGAATAATACAGCCACGACGCAGACCAAGGTCGACTGCGAATAAACCATACGAAACTCCACACCCTTCTCTTCCGTACAAATCCACCCAAATCGACCGTATACTCAATGCACAACACCGAACCGTGCTACCTTTCGCTTACACTTAAAACCTAGTACAAACGTATGCGCACAACTAAGTCCAGTGTCGCTGGAGTATCCTAAAAATGCGTGTTGGTAACGACCTTATCGATCGAGCAGAGGCGTGTGAGTCGCGTGTAATTCAAATTTTAAATTATAATTTATATTGATTTTCTTCTGCTCCAGCTTCGTAAGCGTTTAGATTAATACTCATTGCTAAATGTTTATTCATTTATCGGGATATTCTGGGAGATCTGGATGGAGATGGAAAAAGTGTTGACATTAAATAAATTTAATTGTTGTTGTTGTTATTATTATTATGTATTTCTACATCATTGTTAAATTATAGTTTGAGAAAGTCTTAAATGTATACATTTAATATTTCAAAATAAATACACATTCCATAGAATTACAGTCGACAACGCCATCAAACGAACTTCCAGAGAAACTTTGTGTATGCAATCTCGATTGATAAAAAAAGTTTTTCAAACGGATGAGTGCTCAACATAATTTTACTTTATTCATATAGCGATGCTTCCATGCATTTCTTGTGCAACTGCTAATACAAAATAAAAATTCCTATCCTTTCTTCTTATTTCTATACATATCTTTGTTTTTTATAAACGTAAGATATAATATAAGCACGATATTAATGTTTGAAATTGTTATTTAAGATTTTACATAAACATTGTTTTGATTAAAGACTCGTTTTGGTGAGAAAAGGGTATAATTTAAAGACAATCGAAATATTTTATTTACTAGTTTAAAAATGTATGTATATACTATTTCAAATGAAAACAAATAAATTGAAGTCAGTATTAGAACGGATGATTCATAAAGAAGTACTCCTATTTATGTTGAATAGATAAATATATTACACTTTCACTTACAGTACAATTGTTAGAAAATACATTAAACTTTCGTGGATTTTTTTTATAGACGATATAAAACATTCGGAGAGTTTTATTTCGACATTTATGCAACATTACCTCCAATCAAGTGTTCTTTTCTATTGTCGAAGCATTCGTATTCTCAGATTCCGTTTTGTCCGGTACTGGTATATGCCACTGATAAATAAAAGAACAGCAAACATACTCGCAAAATTAAAGTCTACAATTGTAGTCGAATGCCATCATTTGAAATCCAGCAGTAAATAGTAGATCGGGATAATATAAAAATTTTACTATGAACGTACCATCCTTTTATGTTATTATAATAAGGTTTTTCCATAGTTATTTATTTTAGAAAAATACATTAAAAATGCCAGACTAACAATTACATTAAACGTAACGGGCATTGCGAACACGTGACATTCACCTTTTATATTATTAACATGTATCTATCTAAATTTCATGGAACGAAAGTTCAGTGTATAGATTCATTTGTTTTCTATGTGAACCCGACGATGATATTGCAGCATTGGCAAACGATTCTATATGTATTTAAATGCATTGCCCATTATGTTTATGGTTAACATAACAAAAGTCTTACAATCGGGAATTAATTTAACATAAACGTTACAAAAGTACCATTCGTACTGTTAAGTGCCAAGTGCGCGCTGACTATATGCATTATATACCGATATGTATATAATAATTATTGTTTTCATATGTTCAAACAAAGAACGTTAATATAGATTGTATGTGGCTTCATACCATTAACATAGGTACGCGTGTATTATTATACACATAGTGACATGTTTAACATGCAATTAATCTGAAGCTTGCACAAACAGTATTGTTGCGCTTATTACTTCCCAGTGTACACAGCCCTCTTCACTTTTACTCTACATTTATTAACGAATCATACTATGGATAAAAACAAAAAAAAAGGAAAGAGAGAGAAAATAAAACGATAGAGAAACATATTGAAGGGCAACATCTGACAAATGGATCACTAGAAAGATTACTGGATTTCATAATTCCTTTAAACGACGGAAACATTTAAAGTGTACAAGGCTTTTTTTTCTCAGTCGTACGTATAAAGGAATTACACTTAGCATATAAAGGAGCAGTTTCGAAACAGTAGCTCGCAGAATTAGCAATTTCATAAATACATATTTTGTATCTGAACAAATTGTGAAGACGGTATTCATTTACAGAAAGGAACATTTGATCTTCTATATTCAATCTTGTGCTCAGACTAAAAATGCCCTTTAACGTAATTAGAATAAAACATATATATGTAAATGTATATATATATATATATGCGCAATGTAATCTATGTGTCCAACAATTTTTGTATACATTACGACACATACAAATTGTAATTTGTCACCAAACATGTAAAATCATCAGAGTTTGATTTGCAATCATAAAGTAAATCTACCACAAAGAAGTACTCTAAATTGTAGCTCAAAATGTAAATGTTATTTCAATGTAAAAAGTACCATTGTTGTCTCTCTACATGTTGTTACCATTGTGTTTCGAGATGGAAAATCAAAAGGTGGCCCCTTTCTGCAATATATTGTCACACATTTCCTTCAGTACTATGGCCAATTATGTTTCGTGATGTTTAAAATGTAATCTTACGATAAATATATAGTGATTGCAAATTAAATTCTCATAATTGTAATAGAAAATTTGTACTACATAAATTTTAGTCTTTATAAGTTTTATCTGTGAAATCAATAACAAAATAAATAAAGTTTATAACATACTTCTCAAATACATAAATATAGCTTCAAATCTAGACATAATTAACACCAATGTTACCGCCAATCGTCGAACAAATAGTTTAGTGTTTGCATGTTTCATTTATACTTTTGAGTCTGTAATGGAAACAATTATGGTTTTTCATGTAAGCATTAAAATTTACAGATTTCTTCGCGTATCGAAATTTTCTGTTACTCCATGCGACCGACAGTACTGTGACTGTAAATTAAAAAACATGATTTACGCGCTGGAGCATACTAAACTAATTATTCTTATATTTGGGTACATATTGTTTGTTTCTCACATCATGGTATTCCATTACAAATGAAAAAAATTTGTATCGGTAAATAATAAAAACAAATAAAATTGCACCATTTTTTTCATAATTTTCATAAAGTAACTAGTTATGCTCTGGGATTATCATTTCTTTCCAGTTTAGAATAATGTGCCTCGTATTGCAGAACTCTAGAAAGAGAAGAGAAGAGAAGCTAATGCGTGCAACTGTAAAACGTTTCACTTTGCTTTGTGTTACTGCATGGTTCGAAAGGCACATTTCAGGTTGAAAGAAATCTTCTACTTGAACATATCTAGTTTTTGTAATAGCAAAGGTAAAACAATATTTTTAATGAGAAAGATAGAAAGATCAACTTTCTCTAAGGTCTCATAAAAGTCTATAATGTCATTTCCACTAAAACTGGAATCATTAATATTTATGCTATATATTATTTCATAAAAATAGAACCCAAAAGCTATTGCAATTCGTAAATCACTACAGTATAAACAGGTCGTAACTTGATTAACGTATTTGATTTGACGAAGTTTTTCGTTATCACATTTCGTGAAATACAATTCGAATTAAATCGAGGTTCAAAATAACATCCAATAACGGGCGGGAGGACATCCTTTTTTTTCCTTTTACTTAACGGATATATAATATATATTATATACATTATATATGAAATGCAAGACAAAAGAAAAAGAAGTAATTAAAAATGTAAACTTCTTATCAGTAGAATCAAGTACATGTGTTATCATATTTTTGTCTTGAGGAACGTTCGATTCATCTTTTCTTTTATAATACAGGTAAGAACAAAAATAAGAACAAGATATAAGTATTCTAGAGGTGTAAAACTACTCGGTCGCGTCGAATACAGTTCGATCATCATAGGTCGTCAGATACACTCGTGTTACATTGGCAAATGAATTTGTTCGATATGTTTGTGATTTTGTTTATAAATAGATCTATTTTAAATTAAAAATTTATCGTACAATATAATTCACGTTACATTACTGTTAACGTATAATTTCTACATAACAATATACTTTAACAAAATAATATTTTTGAAAATAATTTATTAATTGAAATTTATCTTCTCGTTTTGATGTCATTTTTATTCGAAGTTTTGATTTTATACAAATCTGAAGATGCATCGTTTTTTAGAAAAAGTAGTTACTAGATTCCTTTGTTAATTTTCAAAACATTGAAATTTTCTTTTAAATATGCATACAAACATGAATGAAATAAGAAAAGAAAAATCAATTTTTTCTTAAAAGCTCTAGATCGGAATCCACCGTTAAAAGGAATGCTATCTCGTATATTGGAATAGATTAAAATTAAATAACTTTGTTCTCGTTTTTATAACTATCAAATATCCAGAAAGTAATGAATACTTCCATTACGAATAATCGATTTTGTGGTAGAAAAGAGATTAAGTAACATATTAATATGTACGGTGCATCTTCAAATTCTTATAAACTTTACTTCTAAGAAAAGTTACATGAAAACGAGAAGATAATTTTCAATTAATAAATATTTTCTAATGTTATTTTGTTATAGTATATTGTCATATAATATCACGAACATATCAAGCAAAGTCATTTGCTGATTTAATATGAGTGCGTTGGACGACCCGTGATGATCAAGTCGCTCGGATGTTCGAATGTTTCGGATATTTGAAAGGGTAGTCGAATCGAACTCTCGAGTACCCAATACATTCAACGATTCATACACCCCTAAAGTATTCCAATAACATTAACATCAAACTGCGTTTATCATTAAGAAATTAAGGTGATAATTAAGAGGAAGCCAATGTGACTGTTTCAGTTTCTCGTAGGTCCGTAAATCGAACATATTTACAAACGTGAGAGCTGCAGCTCGTGTAACAGTCTGCTCGTTTCAATTTATTCACGTTTTAAAGTAAAAAATAGTTTTGAGTTAGTGACTTTCAAATTAGTTATCTCAATTCGTAAATGTTACAAATTTGTACAAATGAAAAATAAAACAATTGTTGAATTTAAACAAAATTCGTTTGCCTACGCACGTTTTTCGATAAATGAAAAAGTAAGCAATATTACACATTATCGACATAAAAATTGTAACATGAAAACCACTGCCCCAAATTATTCAATTTTTCATGGAAGTATTAAGTAAAATACGTATTTTTATCAGGCACAAATGGAATCTAGAAATAATTTTCCACTAGAAATTATTAAAAGAAGGAAGATTCTTTTTTTTCTTTTATACACGCTATCAAATTTTCCTCGAAGTTTTAGGTATTTGAAACTGTAATATTTTGTACTTGAATACAAAATATTGATTATTTATCTAATTAAGTAATATGTTTTTCGATTTTACAAAATGAAATCACAGCATAAGATAATTCTTTTTTTAACTTGTTTTTACGATCTTATTAATGTGTATTAATTTCCAAAGAGAGAAGAATTCGAATAAAAATGTCAAATACAAATGAATTTGTATAACAGCACATGTTCAAAGCCAAAAAATAGTATTTCATTTAAGAATTTGAACAAAATATTATTACGATACACTGTAGTTACTGTATTTTATTCAAGAACATATTTTCAGATATGAAAACATGAACCGTGGAACGTAATACTATTAAGAAAGCTACGTAACATTAAAAAATTTTCTTTTATAAGCTAAAAATCAATAATCATATACATATATGTATATGTACATATAACATATACATGTATATATATTTATATATATCTTTCTCTCTCTTAATTACAGCGAATATATATCTTAATTATTCAAAATTTTAACAGAATATGTTAATTTTGTGTTTACGCATAACGTCTACATGTATTTTGTAATATTTTCATCATGTAACCTCGTTGCAGGTTAAATAGCATTCTTTCCGAATGTATCAGTAATATAATATCCTTTGCTTCATTGTGCAAACATACAAACAAAATATACTACATCCTGTCATGTTTATAAAACACTGACATTAATTTCTGTTAAATTTTAACAAATCTGCATCACGTCGTCTGTTCGATCTGTTTGTCAATGAACGTCGTCATTATACAACATCATAACGGATCACCTATCAAACCTTCACTGGTTTTATTAATGTAAATCCCAATGCGGCGGCTAACTCTCACTTCTTACAATACATTGATTTCTAGAATAAATTGCTACTGCGGCTAACAAACATAAAAAATGATGCGACTTCCTGCATAACTAAATTATGAATTACCATCGTGAAGTACCCGACAAACCGTATTCAACAAATTCTTTGAAAATATCACATATTTACAACTAGGTATCTTTCATTTATCATTTTAGAGGATAGTACATATGTTCACAGTTAAAGAACGAATATTATGTACCAAGAAACTTGTAAAGGCATAGTACATGGGAAAGTAGTGAATCCACTTTTATGTTACACTATACCAACAGGAGAAATTTTTTATAAACTCGAAGAAGGGATGATAATTCCATTTTCTGCGTATTTAATGATAATGTTTAAATTGTCATAGTCCGATAGTGAGTTCTTGCGTTGATTGTTTTTAGAAGAGCATTAAATTCTTTCTTTGGAAATAGTACAAATTCTATTTTTTTTTGTCTTCACTTTCAGTCGTTCCATTGGAAAAGTATGTTGTATCATGCTGATGCATGGAAGTTCGCACAAAAAATTATCTTGCGCATGTCAAAAGAACATGTCGCCGTGAAACGAATAAGGTCAGATCTAAAAGAAGTAGACGATTTAGTAAGACTTACTATCTTACTATTATTTTTTAGAATTGTCCTCTTCGCTCGACCAGTGTTTTTCTTGTTCTTGAAGTTCAAACTCCCATCGCAATTCTAATTCCCGCATATCATTCGCAATGCCGGCCTCATATGTATCTTCCTAAAGAATCATTCCAACGAATCAGTTACATGAGAATTTTTAACAGTAGTTTTTACAGATAAAGAAAACAATCTATCATAAATATACTTATATAAATTCCTTTTAAAATACGACATAGTGATTTACCTCTTCCGGTTTATAATCTTGATTGAAATTTTGGGTACCAAGCAGATTATTCGACGACTGAATCCAAGGTACAGTACCATACGGGCTCCAATTTCGCACGTCCTTTTCTTTTTCTCTAATACCAGCTTCAATCATTTGCAACTCTTGTGCTAGCCTTTCTCCAGCTGTGAAAGTAGCTCCTTGCGTAGCAAGCTGAACATATTTTTAAAAATTTGCATTAACATATGTAAAATATTTTACCATGTCAACGCTCCTACAATTTCCAATCAAGTTCACCTTTGTGCCATACTGTATTACACTAAAGTAGAAGTTACCATAATTTGAAATATACTACGTTCATAGTAAGATTTTAAATAAACATCAATAAGGTTGTATTTGTTTGTATAAAAAACTATCATAATTTGACCAGAAAAATCTACAATATCGTGTATGAAAATATATGATTTAACGATACCTTCAAATCGTTGATCTTTTTTTCGAGATGCTTCAACTGTTGTTTTACTCTTTGCGACTCAAGAATTAAGCTGAAAAATTATATAATAGTTAAATGCTTATAAAGTATAAACTATAAATCTATTAACATACTCTTTAGGCATGCATTCTGGTCGTGAAAGTTGCGTGTGTGCAGTCGACTCGGATATATTTCGACCAAACGTGATATAGTTGTCCCCAAACCCAGAAGTATTGATAGACTGTACTTCACCATTCGCACCGATAGTAGTATAAGCTGTAACCAAACCATTCTACCATTGTACTATGTTATCATATTTTTCTTACACAAAAATTAACGGACTAGAAAAGATTTCCTTCAAGATTTATTCGTTTAATATAAAAGAGTTTCTAATTTAAAAGAGTATTTGTAGATATGAAAAACATTTAATAAATTATAATAAAAACCGTTGTCGAAGTAGAGTATTGGATATGAACGAGTTAATTTCTTATATTAAAGGAAATGTTACTTACGTTGATTACCGTAATACCAAGATGTAACAGAATTCGCCGTTGGTATGGGTCGATACGGAGGAGGTGCACTTCCTTCTGTATAAAAATTGGTAGGTTGTACGCCATTGCTAGATCTAAAACAAGTATATTTTCACTTGCGTTTCAGTGATCTTCAAAGTTTCTTCTATAATCTTTAGTTTGAAAATGATTGTTACCTCATTAAGTTTTTGGATAATTTAGAAATTGGTCCATATTTGTTACTAGATGATGCATCAAATGGCACGAATTCATCATCGAATAGGATCGGATCTGTGCAACGAAAGTTGTTATTACAATTTATATTTGATGGAGGAACCATGAGATTACTCGACGTGTTTGTCCATATGGAGAAATTGCATGATACAGTATCTCCTTGCATATCATAATTCTGCGAACAAAGCGTAAAAGAAAATATAATAAAAAATATGTAGGAAAATATTTATAATATTTTTTATAATTGTACGATCGTACCGTTTTTATTTGTGGCACTTGTTTGTTGACAATTGTTTCAAGTTGATTTAAAATTTCCATCCTGCGTTGCAACAACATCGCCAATGTTTTGGCAACTGTCCGCTGCTGTAACATGAATTGAACAGATGTCATGAATACCTAAGAACGACATTTATTATCAAATAAACAAAGATATGCTTATTTTACCTTTTTAGTATTGGAAACACCATTTGTCACATTAGATGAGACTTGCGACGAATCCCACATATTGAGATTAGGCGTTGTATACTCAACAGGCGCGTTGGGTACAATATAATGAGAGCAATATATATCCATATTTTTGTTTGGTACCATTGGTGAGACACCTTGTGGTGGCGGTAACATGTAATTCGTCAATGAGCCAACAAAGTTGTTTTCACTTGGTGGAGTGTGATGTTGCATTGGATTAACTTTATTAATAGAATTAAAATCTAGAAAAAAAATAATGCAACCAAATTCATCGTGATTAACATTACATATTACTTATGTTATCCAAATACTTACTTTCTCGATGAGTATTATCGTGTGATTTTATGGAATGATAAGGTAAATCTTCACTTTGCTTGAACGTTTTATTATTTGAGCCAGTAACTAGTTTGTCTGCTTTTATATCCGAATTGTTAACTACAGGTACATTTGACCTGATGCTTAATTTTCTATTTTTTGATCTGTATCTATCGAGTAGATGAAGATTATGTACTAAAATTATACACATACATGACTGTATTCCTTCTTTTTAAAGTAACTTACTTATCCAATTCCATGTCACTATGAGCAAAGGTGCAACTTGTGGATCTAGGACATGATCCTCTAAGTGCAAGATCTCGACACATGCTCACTTTATATTTTGGTTGACCTGAGCCTATATTGTGAGTACCATCTTGTGTTTTCCGATTACCATGTTGTTGAATAAATTCCACTAATGCCGCAACTACAGTTCTAACAGCTTCTAGCGCTGCACGACATTCCGCTAATGTAGGAGGTTCAGTTTCTGCAGTAATAATAATGAATATAAATAGTCTATAATTTTTATATAACATTTTACTTGACCCCTTGCATTATCATTTAGTAATATTTGTTTTGCCTGAAATTAAAACTCAACAAAATAGAGCAAGTAATTAAAATAAATCATACCTGGACTGGGATCAATTGCAGCTAACAGTTCTAACTGGGGTCTTAAACTACTTAATTGTCCAGGATCGGGAGTACGTTGAAGAGCAATAACCAATTCTTGTACACTTTGAGCAAAAGACTGCGGAGTTTGAAGTTTGTCTATAATACTTTGCATATGAGACTTATGGCTAGTGTCTCCATATAATAACGCAGACCACTGATCAGGTGCTATTCTTAATCCAGCTTCTGTTGCAATCTGCACTATCTGAGCATCGTGCTCTCTTCTTAAAGCTTCGTATGTTCTGAATTCTTCTTTTAATTGCATCAATGATGAATCTCCTTCTCGTTTAGATACCTAATTAGATATTTTGGTAAACTATTGATCCCCATAATAAATTATTATAATAGAACTTAAAAATGTACATTACCTTGAAACAACTTGCCCTATATAACAATTGTACAACATGTCCTATACTCGTTTTAGATGCTTGAGGAAAATGTGATTCTAAACGCTGAACTACAAACATGACTAACACTTTCCTGGAAAGAGCTGATCCGTCTTCCAAAGCCAATAAAACCAGCTTCAGTACTTCTTCTTGCATTGCTATTAAGAAATTATGGAAATTACTTTAAATACGCTAATTTCATTAAATTATTTTTGTACATTATTAACTTCAGTATAAAATACCTGGCCCAAGAAATTGACAACCACGAGCTCGTACAGCTGCCCATAAATTAGCACTAAGCTGTTGAGGATTTTGATGTTGCAATATTAATTCCGTAACTGATCGTTCCCCGAGACTCCTAGCAGCTCTCACCGCACGTGCTCGTCCTTCTGGTACAACCAACTGACAACCCACAAGAGTTACTAGTTTCCTTTGCATTGGCCGTGAAATCAGTCCCATACCACCTATAACATTTATATTTATTATAGTATTATGCTATTATCATTAAAATCACTAATA